CCCTATTTATACCCTGCTGGTGGGTGTCACCACGAGGCCCTGCAGCTTCCCATGGGCTTTGCCAGCCTTGGTGCTCATGCCAAAAGTGATGTGCTAAGGGAAATTGCTTTTGGGATTTGGGACCAGCCTCCCCGTGGGTATTGTGTTTGCCTGCTGATTCACCCAGCGCACGCACTCTCATTTCAGGTGGGTGGCTGTGTGTTAGATTTTGTTTTAGATAGTTGCTGGCTGCTCAGTGGGTGAGAGTCATTTGAATGCTTCCTCTTTGATCTTTGCAGTCATTTTATGTCCTGAAAAGCAGTGATTAAAGCACCACCTAGTTACCCTTCCTCCCTTAGTTTCAGAGTTGGGGAAATACGAACTCATGCACCCTATGTGTGAATGTCTCATCCTGCCTCAGAACGGCCTCCGTCTCCTATTGGAACCATGGTCTCCCAAGGGTTGAGGTCCTAAGCTAGTGGGAAGGGAGCTCAYGGCTATTGTCTTTCATGAAGCCTAATGATAAATCCTAATAGGCTGTCCAATCATCAGGAGACAGCCATAKGTCTTGTACAGGGATATATGGCTGTGGAGAGATGTCATTGTTTATAGTCAAAGGGATTTGGGGATTTTTGTGTAGAAATGCAGTCAGTGAAACAATATTTACTTTTTAAACTATTATTAATCATTTATATCCACTAMAATGAATATGTAGAATATACAAGGCAAGTCTTAATCTGYCTTGTGCRAGGAGAGTCAAAGGATTAACTTTTTAACTTAAAAAGGCAAAGTCCCAAATGGTCTCATCCTGTTCCCCGTGTGAAAGGAAAGAGCCCAGCTTTAGCAAGGACAGTGCTGTTGTCTACAGAACAAGGGGCTAAACTGGTGCTATCCATGGGAGACCACAGGATCTAAGAGAGGTTTCCAATGGGGCCAGTTAAGTAGCCCTAGGAGGACTGGTTGGTGCCTGGGATGTCATCCCCGACAGCAGCGACGTAGCCRTGATGACCCTTTAGGGCCTGGCCCCTCTCTCTTTGGTCTCTCCAGTACTGCAGCGGCTCCGGGCGCTGTTCCTGCTCCTCTGTAAGGGACACGGTGTGAAGAACCTCCATTTGAAAATGTAGTTTTGCCTTTAAATGTTTCTTGGAAGGCATAAGTTTTAAGTCTAGAAGACACATGACTTCTTCATTTCTTTAGAGAGTTGCACTTTGATGGGAATTCACCTCTGTGGAAGCTAAAAAATCCCATTTCATTTATTTGTCGGTCATTTTATTTTATGCTTTTACTTGTCTAAGACAGGGGGATGGAGCAGTGTTTTCACTTACCCACCCAATAATGAGCCCCAGAAAGTCACTCGTGCCTGTTAAAATTGACTGAAGAAACATGGAAAGCCACTTACCCTCTTTCTAGATCCCCCTGCACATACTTTCAGATACACAGAACGTAAATTAGTACTTTGATGTTCATAATTGTGATTGTTCTTTTATTAGAAGAACACTCTAATAACCTGCTTGCTAATAACTCGCACTCTAATTATCGTCTTGGCAGAAGCAGCTTTGCATATTTTATTGAACCTGAGTCATTATTATTAAAAAATAAGGAATATTTTCTCACAGGGTGTGATTCCTTACTCATCTTTTCCTCATTAGATTGCTGAAATGCTCTTTTCTTCTTCCTTATGAGCTGTTTATTGCTGATTGGCATTAACGCCGGAGGTGTTGAGTTTATATGTCCTTTCTGGATGTTTTGCATCAGAGCGCCTGGCCCAGCAATTCCACATTTTCCCAGTGATGTAATTTCGCTCTATCAGCAGATCTCTCTTCTTGGTCGCTCCGTCTCTGTCCCTCTCTCTGTTTT